TGTTCTGGTCTGTCCATAATAAAATAGTCGTCTTGTGCTGGGGCTGGTGGTTTCCTGATCGATTTAATGATTCTTTTCTTTTGGTGGTATGTGACTGGTACATCTGGCTGCTCTTTTGTCGCACCTTCCCCTGCCAGTTGATCAGCTTTCTCATTTCCAGGCACTCCACAATGAGACGGTATCCACTGCATTACGACTTTTCGCTGAACGCTGAGTTGTGTCAGCAGTGTTTGCAATTCTGGTAGTTTCCTATACTGGAGTGCTTCAAGTACTGATTTAGCATCTGTAAGCATTACCACATACTGTGAGCCAAGGTTGGTATTTAGCAGTTTCTCTGAAGCTATCTTAATAGCCTGGGTTTCTGCATCGTAGTTATGGCAGTACTTCCCGGTTGCTACGCTGGACTTATCCCTAGTACCATCTGGGAATTCGATGTACACTCCAGCACCACCATTTCTAACTGCACTTTCTGCGGACCCATCTGTATAGACTCTGACCCATTGTTCTTGTGGGTATTATTCATCAATATAACTGAGGGTGGCCATTTTGCGTTGTACACTATCTTGCTCTTTCTTGTCAAATATCCCTTTCGCCATGGAAATACCGACCATATCACCCCCCCCAATCCCCACGTGCCGACTGGTCTATAAATTATAGGTCTAGCCCTATATGCCCGATACACCTGAAGGCTTGGTAAAGGGTCCTTTACTTTATTTCCCTCATAGGGTACAATCGGTGCAAAATATATTATTTATACGGGATTTGTGGGTATCAAATGTAACCTAATTTACCTCTTTTAAGTCACTTTAACATGAGGACCGACATCATTTTTCTTGATAAAAAGCTCAGTATAGTTAATTGTCTAGCCTGCATATTGTCGATGTTTAGTCACTTTTTAAACACACCTTATGATGTTGTTTGTACTAGTCGTCTGTTTAAGTATCAAGTTTTTAAAATTACATTTTTGTTGTTTAAACAAATCTTTCTTGCTTTATAAATGGTAGTCTTCTTTTATTACTACGATGTTACGGGGCTGTGTCCCAGTGTTGTGATTTTCTGAATGTCTAGCGCTTCTCAAATGGCTTGTGTGACTGACTGACTGGCTGACTTTCTACCTCACTAGGACATCACACAAGCGATAAACACCCGATGACACAATGTCCCACTATGTGGGTGAGGATCACCGTGGAGAGGTCCCAGAAAACGCGTTCAGCCTTTAGGCCATATTTATGGCCAGGCTATATTGCGGCCACTGGCAAAAGCCAGAGCAGGGCTTCAAATAACGAAAAATTTCATCCTAATAAGGACGAGAAGATGTATGTACTCAACGCAAAGCGAACCCTTTCGGGTTTTGTCTTGTTGGGTGACTGATTTGTTCAACTTCTTATAGGACCCAACTACACTGTTTATCCATCTCTTCCCGTCTTTTACTTTTGCTTTCTGGTCAGACATTTTGCCGTTGAAGGTCTCATACAGCTTTGTCTGGCTGTATTCTTACTAGATGGCCAAATCTCTTCATTTTCTGTCTTTCAATTAAATTCACACAATGCGTTTCTTTTCCCTACTTTCGGTCTGAGGCAGGTATTCGTGATCCGTTCTCTTTTTGTCTTGTTGATGACTTTACAAACAGCGATAACTACTTTGATTTAAAAAAAAAAAAACTGAAAATTCAGTCATAAAGGTATGTATGCATTTTTATGTTGCAGGTGCATACACAGTAGTTGGTATCACTTCGTGGGGAAGAGGATGTGCTTTGGCAAATATGCCTGGTGTTTACGCTCGAGTCTCTACCTTTATCTCCTGGATTTTGAAAACTGTTAGCTCCAACAGCAAAACAGTCGCAGAAGAAAAATTTCCACCAAAACCATAACTGTGTTGTCAAGCTACTTCTGTGACATTGGTTTATTGTTCTAGACATACTAGAATTTGGCGTCTGCTTATTTAAAAAACAATGTCCCCCCCCCCCCCCCCCCCCCCCCCCCCCCCCCCTGTAAATTTAAATAATGCGGACAGAAATAATACATTGCCCAATTTATTGCCTGGCATATTTCGTTGCATTACGAAGAGTTAAATCAACACATAATGAGACAAACAAATGAATCCTTCAGCGGAAATGCATAAAGCATGTCAAGTTTTTGTACTTTTGCTCTGTAGTAACGAAATGCCTAATTTTATTTAGATCAACATTAGTTTTTTGCATCATGAGGGCTAGAGGACTGGAGTGGATGAGGCATGTTGGGAGAATGTCAGATGACAGAGAAGTTAAAAACTGTATACACGAGGGAGCTGAATAGTCGCAGACCACAAGGTAGACCAAATAGACGATGGAGAGATAATATCCAGACTGACCTTTAAACGCCTAACGTCACCAACTCCAAAAAGAATACCAACCCGAGAGATGAATATAGGCGGGTGATATCTCCAGTAATGAACCTCAAGGGCTCGGAATGACTTACTGACTGACTCTCCACCCCACCAGGACATCACACAAGCGACAAACACCCGATGACACAAAGTGCCACCACGTGGACGAGGATCACCGTGGAGAGGTCCCAGAAACCACGTTCAAACAATTGGCCATATTTATGGCCTGCCTATAATGAGGCCCCTGGCAAAAGCCAGGGTGGGTCTTCAAAATACAAACAATTTTGCCCTAAAAAGGACGTAAGGATTAGATAGTAACGGCTCGGAATGCTTAAGAAGAAGAACAAGAAGTAACGCAAGGGACGAAATGCAGCTCAGTATGCCATGCAAAAAGTTTTGCAATGTATTGTCTGCATTATTTAAATCTTTTTACCCCCCCCCCCACCCCACCCTTCCCCCCCCCCCCCCCCCACCCCCCCCCCCCCCCAGACAGCAGATAATGCACTAAATCACATTCATGCATCTGCGTACTCGTTAAATATTAATTTTGTTTTTAAAGGAAGAAATGTAAATAAATAATGTAAACACTACAGCGCATATATTTTTGTGGAGATATTAAAATAAATAGCTGGCAAAGTTGTCTGTTTCAAAACATGCAAAATTAAATATGAAAATATTTTTCGGCTTACTTGTCACTATTTTCAGGATTTAATGAAATTGTTTTGAACACCAGTGCAAATCTGTGAGACTAACCGATATTGAAAGATACTAAAATAAGTAGTGTTATCAATATTAGTAGTCAGGTAGTCTTAGTTTTAGCTTCATAGCAAACGGCCTACCCATAGCTGCTCCGTTCCGGTGCCAACGAAAAACACACAGAATGTTTAACACAGTCCCATGTGGAAAAATTGACAGACTGCTGTCTCAGCATATCTAGCATACACACGCATTAAAAGCATACAGTAGCGATCCGAAGTGCTGACACAAACATTTCTACATTAGAAATGCAGTTCATCATTGATGGTAGCAGAATACACCAACCGATCAGAGGTTGCACACGCGATCAATTTTAATCACATAAGGGCACCACCATCATTGTGACAACAGGCATCGCGCCATTTTCTGAAACTACAATTCACACCACCACGTTGGTCACAGTCGAAAAAACATTCCAAATGAAATTCGCAGCTTACAGTGTCACGTCATGCATTCCACTCAGAAGCTAGGTGACGAAACTAAATCCTTTCAGTCTACAAATGGAGCAAAAATGCAACGGTCACAAATGCAAAAAATGCAAAAAATGTGCCTCGGCTTCAAACAATGTCCGCGCCCAGTGTCCATTTTGATCAGAAGTAAAAAAAAAAAAATACGTATTAGTAGTAGAAGTAGCAGCAGCACCAGTAGTACTACTAGTAGTGTTAGTAGTAGTAGTAGCAGCAGCAGCTGCAGAAGCAGCAGCCCCACCAGTATTCACAGTTGCAGTAGTATCAGCAGCAGTAATAGTAGCAGCAGCAACAGATCAGCCATAGTAGTAGTAATAGTAGTAGTAGTAGTAGTAGTAGTAGTAGTAGTAGTAGTAGTAGTAGTAGTAGTAGTAGTAGTAGTAGTAGTAGTAGTAGTAGTAGTAGTAGTAGTAGTAGTAGTAGTAGTAGTAGTAGTAGTAGTAGTAGTAGTAATAGTAGTGGCGGTGGGTGTTCTGGTGGTAGTTGTAGTAGTTGTTAAGTTTTGTTATTGTTGTAGCAGTAGTAGTTGTAGACAAAAAGATGAGATAATGAGTAAATACAAGAAGAGAAAGAAGAAGAAGAAGAAGAAGAAGAAGAAGAAGAAGAAGAAGAAGAAGAAGAAGAAGAAGAAGAAGAAGAAGAAGAAGAAGAAGAAGAAGAAGAAGAAGAAGGAGGAGGAGGAGGAGGCGGATTAAAATACGAAAAATAACAATATAATAATAATAATAATAAGACAAAGAAGAAGAAGAAGAAGAAGAAGAAGAAGAAGAAGAAGAAGAAGAAGAGGAAGAAGAAGAAGAAGAAGAAGAAGAAGAAGAAGAAGAAGAAGAAGAAGAAGAAGAAGAAGAAGAAGAAGAATTTCGAAGAAGAAGCAGCAGAAGAAGAAGAAGAAGAAGAAGAAGAAGAAGAAAAAGAAAGAAGAGGAAGAAAAAAAAGAAGAAGAAGAAGAAGAAGAAGAAGAAGAAGAAGAAGAAGAAGAAGAAGAAGAAGAAGAAGAAGAAGAAGAAGAAAAAGAATTAAAGAAGAAGACGAAGAAGAAGAAGAAAAAGAAAAAAGAATTAAAGAAGAAGACGAAGAAGAAGAAGAAGAAGAAAAAGAAAGAAGAGGAAGAAAAAAAAGAAGAAGAAGAAGAAGAAGAAGAAGAAGAAGAAGAAGAAGAAGAAGAAGAAGAAGAAGAAGAAGAAGAAGAAGAAGAAGAAGAAGAAGAAGAAGAAGAAGAAGAAGAAAAAGAAGAAGAAAGAGAAGAAAAGAAGTTGACGATGATTATGATGAAGATGACGATGTTAATGATAATGACGATTAAGGAAGATGTGTGTGAAGAAAAAATAAATAAGATTACATGACACGTATGTTTGGGTGGAAAAAAAAGGGGGGGGGGGGGGGCTTAAGGGCCTGCACTTCACGGTTCTGGCTCGGACGATCTCAGACAGATGTCACTTTAAATCACAGTATTCTAAGTTACTGGAACGAAGATGTATATAAAATATACAAGGCACACATTGGGTAGCAGGAGGCAAGGGAGCTGGCGAGAAGCCGAGTTTCTTTCAGACAGATCGGGATGAGAGCAACGTTCTGCAAAGGACCTGCTGCATGATGATGATGATGATGATAATTCTAAGTTTATACTTTAACTCATAATATTTAGGGCAGAGGGAGTTGAAATAATAACATCATTTAAAAAAAAAAAAGTGATTGCTTCAGGATGCACGTATAAAAGAGTGGGTATCGGAACCTGGGAGGCTTGGTCCCTTCTGACCTCTCCTCTAATTGTGTGTTGTTTTTAAACAGCGCAATAAATCCTCCCCCCCCCCCCCCCAACCCCCAGCATGTGTAAAGAGGCTAACCGCCCCCTAATTACACTGTGTTTTTTTTTCGATTATTTATTAATAATTGTATATTATTTCAAATTTTTTGGTGTCTGTGTTTCCGCGTATGAAAAGTATCATCAATCTCATCATCATCATCATCAGAGCTTTTTTCTAGAAGGAAAAGTATCGGTACTCAGCAAAACTTATATCTATATATATGAAAACAGGTGCCGGTAAAGTATGTATAACAGAAGCGCTCACTAACAAAAAACAAAAAACAAAAACAAAAAAAAAAAAAAATATACCAGAAAAAAGGCGCTAGTACTGTGTGCGTAGTGTCAGGAAAAAAGATCGTTATTATTATTACGCACCTAAATAATGCATCTGTCCATTAAGCGGCTCTCCTTAGAAAAATCATGATACTGAGGCCCCTTGCTAGTTCCCCCCTTCCTCTTGTTTTTTTTTTTTGTGTGTCGACCCTATTGCATGTTAATGGAACTCATAAAACAACCTGCGTCGCCTGTTACAAAATGAGCTCATATTCCCCCTGACGGGGAAGATTAGGGGGGGGGGGGGGGGGGGGGGGAGATTGAGAAGAATTTCCGCACGAGCATATAGTAGAAGTTGACTAACTAGGTGTGTTTCCTTCGAAGCGGGTGTTTATATGCTCCAGAGGCCAGGTATCAACAATGTGCATACAAATAAGCCAGGTGCGTAGAACGGGTGTGCATGCAAAACTCAAGCTCTTGATCGCGACCAATGTCCGGGATTGGAGAAACAACCAGAACTTTCCACCAGTTTACAGCCAGAATACGCGAAGAAGAAGAAGAAGAATAAGAAGAAGAAGAAGAAGAAAAAGAAAAAGGAGTTAATACTAGTTCTTAGTACTTCAGTGATACACACGCAAATATACAAACAGGAACCAAAAAGAATGACGGATTTTCCTATTCTCGGGTAGATAAGACAAACCGTACGTCATTCAAAACTCCTCAGCCCCACCTCCCTGTCACGTGATCACGTTGTTGTTGAAGTCTGGTCACGTGAGGTAACTGTATCGCAAACAACGACCCCAAGACCAGTGTTGCCACTTTGGATGTTTTACATCCAGATTTAAATGTTTTTCATTGCATTTAGATGGCGTTTTTGACGTTTAGTTGGTAGATGTTTTTCTAGATGTTTTCATTTGGAGTGAATTTATCAAATCTAACCTAAGAAACAGGATGAAATCTGACCTCTTAAATGCTGTCTTGACAATAAAATTCGGCCTGATAAGAGTAGGAAAAGGCTGTTCCATTTATCAGCTCCCTGATTAAGTATTAACAGAAATTGGAACAGCTAAAGCATACCAGAGTCATTTTGTATTTGAAGCTTCAACTTAATTATCCAAGCAAAGTTTATCCTGTGGATCTTGTAAGGCAAACTTCAGTAAAGATGAGGACATTATTCTATAGGGTAATTCATATCAATTGCTATGTAATTTGTGACTTTTTTTCCATTTGAATGTTTTTTCTAGATGTTTTTCTACGCAGATTTAGATGTTTTTATATATTTTTTTGACTCCGTTTGGATGTTTTTTGTCAAATAAAAGTGGCAACACTGCTTAAGACCAGTGTTGCCACTTTGGATCTTTTATATCCAAATTTAGATCTTTTTAATTGCATTTAGATACTGTTTTTGACGTTTAGATAGTAAGTATTTTTCTAGAAACTTTTCATATGGAGTTAGATATTTTATAGATATTTTTTTCTTTCATTGTCAATTTAATAATTACTGTGTAAAATATTTACTACAATATGAAAAGTGCTACACAGTTGAAATACTATATGGAATGTACAGTGATGAAAAAAATGTGTCATTCATTCTCTTTTTATAACCTATTCTAATGGAAGTGCAAAATGTTAATAAACTGTTCGAATCTAAACTTGTTGATAAAGTTAAATTACTTGATGATCTCACCTTGCTATATCACTCGGTAAAAGACTGGTGTTGCCAACTTCTAAAGTTGATTTGCTCACCTGCACTATAGAAAGCTATTTGGCTCCTAAGCCACACATTGGATATTAAATCGAATCAAAAATTGATGATTTAAAACAAAAGGACTGTTAACAGAGAATGAAGAGAACAACTTAAGAAAACGCTGTCAAGATTTCCTTATCTCATTATTGAAGCAACTGAAGCAGAGACTTCCTGAAAATCTAGATGTTTTGAAAAATATTTCACTTTTTCTGTGAGCAACGTACTTTAGCCAATAAAGGACATACCTAAATATTGTAAAGTTATGACATTTTTAGGGGCTACTGATAATAGTGTCGCTGAAAGTTAGCTGATTGGACAAACAAAACATAAACTAATGCGTTTTGGAGTGAAGTGAGACAATTTAAAGATGCCTCATCAAACAGTCCATTCTGTAAGCTCTTTAAAGTGCCATGTCTGCCATGATACTACCCCACTCAAATGCTGACGTAGAAAGAGTTTTCAGTGCTAGGAATTATATCAAATCTAACCTAAGAAACAGAATGAAATTTGACATCGTAAATGCTATCGTGCCATTAAAATTTGACCTGATGAGACTAGAGAAATAAGCCTACTGTTCCACTTATAAAGAAATTTGAACAGCTAAAGCATACCAGGGTCATTTTGGATCTGAAGCTTCAACTTCATTATCCAAGCTAAGTGTATCCTGTGGATCTTATGAGACAGACATCAGTGAAGATGAGGACATGATTATGTAGGGTAAGTAATAACAAAAGCTATGTAATTTTTGACTTTTTCAATTTGGATGTTTTTTCTAGATCTTTTTCACGCAGATTTAGATCTTTTTAGATATTTTTTTGACACCGTTTTGGATATTTTTTGTCAAAGAAAAGTGGCAACACTGCCTAAGACACCTTGTCTTGTGACTTGTCAAATTTTCTGTCACTTGAGATTTCTAGATTGTGTCGGCAAGTTGATAAGTTGTTGCCCTGAGAAAATCACTGCGTTGAAAGCGAAAGGTAAAATTAAATCTTCTTTAAACAGTGCATACTTACGTATACGCGAAGCCAGTACAAAATAATAAAGAATACTATCTGTTAGTATTAACTATTATAAAAGTGTAGCTCTAGTGAGTTACATATAATGACCTGTTATGTAACGTTGTTTTTGTGTGTTTCCTCTTCCCGGACTAAAGGGTAGGGACCTCGGTGACTTAAAACACTTTTGACATCTCGATTTGAGGTTTGGACAACGGATCAACATCATGGCCCTCGGGTAGTAACCCATTAGTGTTCCGTTTTTCTTCTAACTCAAGTCCGAATAAGCTCAGCACAGTGCATAGACAGCGCCAGCAAGGATCCTGAAAATACTTTAGGTATATTATTTAATTTTTAACTCAAAATTTAGCCCGGGCAGCGCCGTTAGGCTATACTGTTTTTGATTTCCAACTGCCAAGGGATTCTTTACGTGCTCAACGGTCGTCAGATCTCACTACCTAGAGACCAGGAAGAATTACTAGAAGTCCAAGTCTGTGAAAAAATCCCAGCCCTTATCAGGAATTGAACCCATAACCTCCAGCACCTGAGGAGGACACTATGCCTCGAGACCACGTAGCACCTTTAGTTACATTTCATGAAATGTTATATAACGTTGTTTGTGTGTTACATTCCATTTCCTTCTCCTGGAATGCAGCCCTCTAAAGGGTTGGCACTTCAGTGACTCAAAACACTTTTGACATCTCGATGTCTTGAAAAAAAAAAAAAAAAGCTTTACTATATATGTTATAACTGTTTTATTAAAAACTGTTAAAGTAAACTGTTTCTTCTTGGGTTTGCCATTATGTCCGCAAGTTGGTCTTTTATTGCCCTAAAAAAAGCGTATGTCAGTTTAAATCTTTTTTACAAGATATATATATATATATATATATATATATATATATATATATATATATATACAAAGTCAGTGCAAAGTAATAGAATACCGTTATAGGCTATCCTCTGACTAACGGTCGGCAAAGATGGCAGCCGCAGAATATCCTTTTGAGCCAGAGTAGCGTGTCAATTGCGCACTAGTGGTCACGAGCACACCGCTGCTCCTGGGTCCTAGCCATCTAGTTTAGCCCATTCCACGCCGCGTAGGGGACAGGTGGCGGTGGCGATGGTCGCCGGAAAAGCGCCGGAGAACCCGCAAATTAACTCACGCAACTCTGGCTCAAAGGATATTTTGCGGCCGCCATCTTTGCCGACCGTTAGTCGGAGGATAGCCCCGTTATACATAGCTTTAGTTATGTATATAATAAACTGTTATTTAACCTAGTGAATAAGTCTGTATGCATGTGTGTTGTGTATATTTTGTGTGTGTAAAGGATCAACATCATGACACACGGGTGTAACCCATAAGTGCTCCGTTCTACTTAAAACTGAAGCACCAGCAAGGAATCTGAAATACTTTGGGTAGATTTTTAACTCCAAATTTTGCCTGGGCAGCGCTGTTAGGCTACTCTTTTTTTGCGATTTTCAGCTGCCAAGGTATTGTTTACGTGCACAACAATACACGCAGGTGTCCAGTCTTACTACCCATAGACCAGGGAAAAATACTAATGTGAAAAAAATCCCAACCTTCACTGGGGTTTGAACCCTGACCTCCAGCACTCGAGGCAGATACCATACCTCCAGACCACTCAGCTCCCCTCTTCCCTCAAGAAGAACATTATATAACAGTTTGTATGTGTATATGCTTGTCTGTTAAATTCAGTTTTTCCTTCTGGATCGCAGTCTTCAGAGCTTACACCTCGGTGACTCAAAAAGTAAAAAAAGAGTCATATTATATTAAATTATAAACGTTTAAAGTGTTCAGCTGGGTTTTAAGATTTGCTGTTGTTACTCATATTTCGAATAGTGAATCCATGAGTCCCTGGGTGTCTGTCAGTCATTCAGGCTGCAATGCTGTTAAAGAGATGTTCCTCATCAGTTTTAAAGTCTAACAATAACCCACCCACCCAAATTGGACTGTAGGTTACTTCCTAAAATCAAATACCCTAATATACTGTTGAAAGGAGTTTCTAGGATTTTGTTCCTGTTGGATTCTCATCAAAGTAGTTTGTCTGTTTGAGTCTGTGGGTGTTAATCTTTTTGAATGCTGTATTATTTCTATAGGCAGATGTTTTTGCTTGACTATAAAATAAAATTGTGCAACATACAGTATTTTTCTGTGTGTATAAGTTGCCACAGTGTGTAAGATGACTCCTGTTTTTTAAGCCGAGAATAAGGAAATACGTATTTAAAACATATTCCATGTGTAAAACGTCCCCCTCCCCCCCAACCTCTCCCAGTTTTAAGTTTTGAAAAGTTGGGAAAACATAGTGTCTAAATATATAAATGTTCAGCATATTGATAGTATAAGTACTCAATCTTTCCAGATTCATTATGGCTGTTGCACAGATTATTGTGTTACTATGTTCTGTGGTGGCTCTCAGTGCTGCATGCTGTACTCCCGACCAATGGGAAGGCGAAGAAGCTACCATTGGAGGCTATGCTGGCCGCAGACGCACTGGGCTTGTGAAGGTTTCATTGTTTGTTTCATTAGTTGACTTTGCCATTCTGTCTTTGCCATTCTTCTTCATTTACCGTCCATCTCTTGGTGAACACTTACAATATATTGAACTTAACAATTGCAATCATTTACCTTCCTACAGTCTGGTAAAATTTATACATAGCTTGGCCAGCATTAAATATCCAAAAGTAATTGACAAGCATACATTTTCAATATCAAATTTGAGAAGGAAAATTCTGTATGTTCTCTAGCTCTTCTTCAGTTACATCTAAGTGACAGGGCTGCCTGTGCTGTACTGTCCTGTGGTAGACTAGATACTACATGTACAAACCATGTGACATGTTTCTTGATGTCTTTCTTTCATTAAAAAATGTATACAGAATCATTCATTTCCTTTTTGATGTTTATGGTAATAGCTTGTTTAACTTTCTTAACATTTACATTGATCTCTTTTACCCTTGCTTTCAAAGACTTGCCCAACATTAATTTATAATTGTAAGTTAGTATATAGTGCCAAAAAGATGGTGTAGATATAATATTCAAGTAGACCTGCAAACACTTGGAGTCACCAACTGGACGGAGAAGGCCAATCATAGTGATGATGGCAGGAGGTAATATCTGCAGCAGTGAATCTCAAGAGCTTGGAGTGTTAAGAAGAAAAATTTTATAGATTTTGTACGATAAGGTGGTCAGTTAACTGACATCTCCACAATGAAGGCTGACTGCAGTGAATCTCCAGTATAATCTGTCATTCTAGCTGTAAACTCTCTGAGCCTGCAATTCACCTGTTGTTTATTGTTATCCTTCCCTTTGTATTGTTGTCTACCTTTTGCTCGATTACCTTCAGCTTTTCCTACCATTATGATTTTTATAACAAATACATGACAAAGAACATGACATTATATTTGGCACATTCTGAGGAGATGCAAACAAAATTACTAAGCAGGTGGTGAAATGGGAAACAAATATATTGAGGAAATGTGGACATCCTGAAAAAACCCCTAAGATGAACACTAATGAGAGAAGCCAAAGGTGATTCACTGGAATTCATTCATGATGTTGAAATAATTGCACAGTATACTACTGAATGCAAAAATACATTTCTTGTGTTTTTTAATGTGGTGAAATATTTTAATTTTTTTTTTTAAATTTGTTTTCTTTTGACAGTTTTTTTTTGGGGCGTCCTGTATTTTTTTCCTACCCCAAAAACGGGGAATTCTGGAGTTCCCCAGAAAGTCCAGGATTATAGTAGGTAGGGCTAGTCGGTGTTCATTTCAAACTGTAACACCCCTGTAATATTACACTATTCAGGGAATGCTGGGATTTGCCATGTTTGGGGTAAAAAAAAAAAAAAAAGAACCCTTTTCTTTTCATTTTGCGCTACTCTCAGAACAATTATGTTGCATTTGTATAAGTATTTAACACATTTGGATGTTCCAGGAGTTTATTGCTGTTGCTTATGATGCTGTCAACAAACGCACAGCTGCATTTTTGGACTACAGACGTGGAGAGCACTCAAACAAATTCAGGATTGTTACCAGATACGAAAATGATGTAAGAAGTAAAATAAACATTAGGTAGTAAAGCACTGTCTACACAGTGTGTTGACATCACAGCACTCCAGACATTTCCATAAGTGATCCATACTCATCTTTAGCAGCCAGCGAAGAGTTCCAGTTCTGTTTTATTTTTACAGCAGTGCCATATCAAGCAAATGATGCTAGATCCATCTTTTACTAGACTGATTGACACTCAGTGGACATAGTGTTTAGTGTCATTTCTGATGCTTTTAATTTTCAGGAAATTTCCTGGTACCCATTTTAGGATATTCATTTTCTTCTTTTTCTCAAATCCTGGATTGCCTTTTGGCGTCAGTTTTTGAAGAGTCATCAGGTGAGAGCCTTGATATGTGCTACATGTATGCTGGTATTTACAGCCTCGGATTATTCTATCTATCCATCACTTGGATGGTCGAGCTCTTGCTCTGACCCATTTCAGGAAACTATTTTAGGTGGGGTAGGCATGGTAATACCCAGTTTGTGTGTTTTGTTGTTAACATATTTGATAACTTTTCCTACATGCTGCCCTGTTCCTCTTCCTTAAAATAAAGCTACAGAGGGAAATAGAGTAAAGAGTTATCAAAAGAGACAAGAAAATGGGACAGAAAAGAGAATTTTGAGAAAAGATAAAAGTTAGAAGAAGGAGAAGTGGTGACGGAGAAGTGTGGGATGATGAAAAGAGGTAGTGGAGATGAAGAAGGATGTGGTAATGAAGAAGAAATAGAATGTGGTGTTGATAAAGAGAGTGAGCGTTCGGAGATAAAGAAGAAAAAGCAAAAAATTGAGGAGTGTAAGAGAAGATGGTGATGAAATATGGGAATAAAGAGGATGAAGATTAGAAGGAGTCAGTGAGGAAGAAGAAAATATCAAAGATAATGAAGAAATAAAAGTAGAAATAGTGTGTTGAAGAAAAATGTTGGTTTTATTTGGTTTTAAATTCATTTTCAAATTGCATGTCTCTTTATGTATATGTGTATGCATATAAATCTGCATATATTCACCGTTTCACATTCCTGTGATACAGAAAGGCAGACTGTATGTGGTTAATCTGAAGGACAGAAAATGCTGGTCAAAGACTTTGGAACGTCCTTTCCGCAAAGCCTGCATCCCATGTAAGTTTAAATAGGACAGTTTTGATAGCCAGCGAGGACAATTTATTAAACTTAACTATGCCTAACTCTTTCAATTCAATAAAGCTTACATGAAGTTGTTACTAAAATTCACATTAGATTCTAGGAACTCATTTTGGAGGGAGAAAATAAGGGGAGGGGAGGCAGAAAAAAGAGGGCGGGGTTAGCAGTGCACACTCAGAAGACAGACTTGATGTTTCAGCCCTTAAGCTGGAGCCTTTCTCAGTAGAAAGCCACAACTTCCATGAAGTTGTTACTATAATTCACTGTAGATCACAGTAGCTCATTTTGGGAAAGAAAATTTTTTGTGTATGTGTGTGTGTACATTATTCACCCTTCATTAAGGACACTAGTCGTTTATTTACTTACTTCATTCCTTATTCCATTGCTTTAAATTTTTCTTTACATCTCTTTACAAGCTGACATATTTTGTTGATGTGTGGTTTGCAAGCCTGGCAGGTGCTACATATTTTTTTAATAGTTGTATTACTCAGAAGGAGACAGTCGTCATTTTTCGGCCATGTTATGAGAAGAGGGAAAATAGAACATGTTGTGACCACTGGAAAGATCTGTGGAAGGAGGGATAGAGGAAGACAACGAGAGAAGATGCTTGACAGTCTTGTTGCATGGCGTGGAGGTGTGTCGGCACACGAACTGATACATACTGCAGGAGATCGCAGATTATGGAGAGGCATGATCGCCCACGCCAGTTGGCGAGGCACCTGATGATGGTGATGATTACTCTGTTGTTAAGTAATTTCTGAGTCTGTCTGTCTCTTTGTTTGGTTTTCTCTTTCTCTGTCACACACACTTGTACATGCAGGCACACACACACACACAAACTGTTTCTCTCGCTCGCTCCTTGACTGAATCATTATCCTCATCCTGTTGTGTCATTATACTTCACATAGTACAGAATACATCCCTGTTTCACTCCAGTTTTGACTGTAAATCAATCACTAAAACCGTAATTTCTGTGCACTGCATACTCTGACCCCCTCATACATTGCTTTGATAATGTTTATTAATTTTATTGGTTTACCATAAAAATCCCTGATTCCCCACAGCGATGAACTGTGCAAGCTATCAAAAGCCTTCTTAATTCTTTTTTCACTTCCGAGGAATTCACCATGCCTTTGTTGGGTTCTACCTAGATTATAAATCTTTCTTAATTTCTCCCGGCACATCCACTTTTATACTAAACTTCTTTGCTCAAACTGTTAATTTAACTTCTTCTCTCTCACATTATTTTTATTATGTCTCATTCTGATACAAATCATCTTAATGCTGGGGTGTCGGGTTCAATTCCCAGCTGTGGATGGTTTTTCTTGCATTGGTTTCGAGAGTGGTACCAAGAGCTGACATTTCAGTAAGCAGTGGCAAACTACTGAATGTAAAATTTGCCTATAAAAACCGCAACACCCAAAAATTCTGGGGTTGGTTCTGGAACGTCCTGTAAAGGATGCACAAATAACTTTAACTGACACAAATTTGTTTTAGTTAAAAGTGAATATTTTATGTGATAAAATGAGTTAACAAAAGGAAAGTAAGAGTCCCTTTTCTATGCCTTCTGGCCTATAGGGCTAGACCTATATTTTTATAGACCAATCGACACAGGATGGGTGATGTGGTCAGCTTTATTTCCCAGCACTGCGATAAAAGGGGTTAAAAATATTGGTGCTTCATTTATTACTTACCCCAGATAGAGGGAATCCACAGGAATTTCACAGCTGACTGGACAGTCCACTATTTCTAGGGCTGCAAGTGTGCTGCTGCTGTTATTTACTCTTCTAGTGTTTTTTAGTGTGGCATATTTCTGTCTGTTAGTGCGCAATTGGCTGCTTGTTGATGCACAATTGGCTGATTTACAATACTGGTAATGTTTTCAGATCATTTTTTTCTTGTGAATGTTTAGGGTAGTCATTATTACATCCACCTTATAAATGTAAGGTGTCGGTTCAATCTCTACTTGATTTTTTTTTTCTAAATTCTTTTTTCTTTTTCTAAAAATTAAATGTAATAATGTTTTTTTTGTAAATGTAAATTGTACACTTTGGCTATGTGAAGTCTATATGTAATTGCAGGAGTTGCTATCTTGGGGTACTGTGGGGGGTGGCCTTAAAAAGGGCCAATCATTCTAGATATATACTGCTGGGTTCACGCACAAATTAACAATCACAGCAATTTTAACCTGTTAGTTGTGGAAACATACGTCCTACATGATTTTTGCATCTTGCAAACAGACTTTCATCAATTTCACTGCAGCAGGATTCAATAATAATGTATTGGCACAAACCTCCCGTCAGTAGTTGCTCCATTCCACAGTCCTAGTCGGTCACATACTCAGCTCTACTTGGCGAAATTGAATGCTTGTTCATCTCTTTAGACCAGCAGTATATAAACAGAATGATCTGTCTGTACGGTAGCCTGCTGCGACCAACCCTTCCACCATCTCATTGTTGTTTTTACAACGTATGGTGACTGCTGGAACAACAAGGCGGAAGCGCACGGCGGCAAACACTGATTGATGAAGACAGCTGCTGCAAAGCACATGCCTCTTTTGCGAAGTGTTCTAGAAATGGGGAAAACCCTACCTCACCACCCTGAGAAATATTTGACTGTGTTATGTGATGTCATCGTGACGTCATGGGGTGAGCAAAAAATATTGTACCATAATATTTAACTGGTACTAAAAGAGTTGAAGTCCTTGAATTTTAAAATGATTAAGTACTAGCACCAGAAATAACCTTTACAAAATATTCTCAGCTGAAGCCAAACCAATTGGAAGTTACTACCTAGGGCTGAAAGACGGGTTCAAGGTAACAGGTTATGACTTCAGAGGTAAAAGCATCAATGCTTTTGTTTCCGTGCAGCCTTTGGACAACAATCAGTGTGTTCCTGTCACAGAGGCAGTTTATGGAAGACTTAACAGAGGTAAGATTTAAAACAAAAACATTGACTTTGGTTGAGAAAGTCGTTCCACATAGGGTTATATTTGTTTCATTGATTTCTGATTTTCAGGGCCTTTAAAAAAATTTTTTTTTAAAGAATGAAAGGTCAGGGTTCTCAACAAAAAGTGTCTACAAAACATACTAAGTACACAAGGTCTGACAAATTTGCACCGACAAATTGGAGCCTAAAAGAAAGGTACCGGTACTGTGTACCATCATGTGCCACCAGAAAAGAAAAAACAGCCAGTTATCAACATTGTTTGAAATACTTCTGCTGGTTTGCCCTTGACAGAGCAGGTGGCTCATTGTGTGGTAATTCACAGCTGGGCTGTGATATCTGTCATTTTCAGCTAACACATCCAATTTCAGTAAACACTTAATTAGCCACCTTTTAGGGCATTTTACCACCCCCCCCCCCCTTTTCCGAACCCTCAAAACTGACCCCAGAAACCATGCACAGAATATAAATTACTATGTTAATAACTTTAGGTTAGGATTTTAGGTTAAGCTTTAGAGGTGTGATTTCACAGACGAATCATGAGAATACCCTGGACAGATAAAAAGAGTAATGAAGATGTCTTAAAAGAATCTGGCTCAGGAAGAGAATTGACGCCCACATCAAAATGAGACAATCTACATTCTGTGGTCATGTGAGGAGAAGGAGAAAACTGGAGTACATCGTGACAGTGGGAAAGCTGGAGGGAAGGAGAGGCAAAGGGAGACCAAGAGACCAGATGCTGGACGTTTTACATCATGGCATGGAAGATCATCTGTGTCAGAGTTGTTTGAAAATACACGAGACAAAAGGTTGTGGATACTGACATAACTAAGATCGCCACCCGGCATAAAATTTAAGAATAAGAAGTATTCAGATACATAGAACACATTAGATAGTAGATGTTTGACTGAGATAGATAACAAAATAGAACATGGTGAAGTCAGCATTAATTTACAAGGAAAACATATTTTCCAACAAATCTGTCATCAACTGTTATAATTGGAATGTTTGTGTGCGACACAGATTCAGTTGTGACATCCTGGACAAATATTAAACAAGCAAAAAAAAAAAACACTGGGGCCTTTAGAAATGTAAGTTATACAGAAAAATGCTTAAAATACCTTGACAAGCTAACTTAATAATGTACATGTTTTGAAAATGGTAATTTGCAGAGGCAGTTTAACACCAAAATCAGAAAGAAGCATTTTTTTTTTTTCAAACCACATAGGTGAAGAACAACTGAAAATGTTGTGATGCCTTGAGAGTTTATGGAAAGCGAGAGAGAACAAATATGAAATGATCTTCTACAATATACTTTTGCCATCATGAAAAGTGTTCTTTACTTTATTTTTCAACTCAAAGTCCTGTAAGATTTCACACTTTTATTCTTGAATCCAGTTGACTTTATCCAGAACATTGGATTCATCAATGTTGCACCTGGCATCAAGAATGAAACAGTCTTTGAAATTCCTAAAGAGTGTGAGAAGGTGAGTGACTGCTTTGATAATTGAAATCAGCTTCATCTTTTTATTAGTGTTAGTGCTTACTTTTATTTATGTGGGTCTTCATGGTGAAGTGGTTGAGACATTTGTATCTTGCTCTAAAAATTATGGGTTCAGTTTCAAACACCATAATTTGTTTTATGAGCAGAGGTATTTCAGAGATCCCTTGGAAATATCAAAGGAACTACAGAATGTTGTGTTTTGTGTATCATTCTTGATAGGCAGCCCCAGAAAAAAGTGGTCAAGCCATGTGGGACAAAGTGCAGTGAAGTTGATCCTCTCATATTTATACATGCCCTCCTGTAGAAAATCCTCACTGAAGGGAAAGATTGATACCAAGAGAGCAAGGAATAGACAATGATACAAGTGGAAGGACAATGTCAAGAGATGGAGAAACAACAGTTTGAGAGAGTATTCACCTAAAACAAAAGGCAGAGCCTGTTGGAGATCCTTTGCAGCCAGCCTTCACTGTGGAGACTGCAACAGAAAGTAGAAAACTATATACAACTATGAGAAATAATCATTCAGTGGTCTTCAGTCATGTGATGAGAAAGGCATTGGAGAGAGGAAAGATCAGTGGAAGAATAGGCGGAGGCAGACCAGAACAGACAATGGTTGATGGCCTTAACTCTTTGAGTCCCAAGGAACGCAACATACGTTCATAGGTTTCAACCTAGAAACCCAATAAACGCATGATGTGCCGATTTTAATGACTCTCATTACTACCCCCTGGGCCTGTGATGCTAAACCCCCTGGGACTCAAAAGAGTTAAGCAATGTCATGGTAGAACATCAACAGTGGAATTGATTCAAAATACCATGGTCTGACTGGTACATAATGAGGGAGAAAGAATGACCTACAGCTCCCTTAGAAGCACATCATAAACATTGACTGTTAGAGGTGTTTCTTTCAGTCAGAATGCATCTCCTAGAGAGGTGGGCAACCAGCAGTCTGCTTACACAAGCCAGATCTGTAAAACAGATAAGCAAGCAAAACTTAAGTTCTAGAAGACTAAAGTCCAGAAGTAGATAAACAACTAGAACTTTCTGTTAGAGTTTACAGCCAGTGAACACGAAGTAGAAGACAAAGAAATCTGGAAAAATGGAAAGGTGCCAACAACCCTATATATGTAATAAATCTATTTTAAAATGTACGTACAAAGTTTGAAGTATGAAGAAACAGTCTCAGCCCTTTCTGTAGCAACTCGTTATATATTCATTGGTTATTTGAAAGACAGCATACCTCTCTCAAATTCTGCTGCCACAGACATTACCCTATTATATCAAAAATATTTGTTTTGTTTCTTCTTATTGTTATTTAGACTTCTTTAAATCAATCAGTGATTGCTCAAATTCATTTCTAACCAAACAACTGCTCATATGCTTTTTGGTTACTGTTTATTTGAGATAATTTGTTTTTTTTTTCCTCTTTCCTTCTGTCCTTTGTAAGTGTTACATTAGCCCTTATCACTCAACCATTTTCTTCTGTGATGTATTGTTTTTAGTGTCTTGACTCATATATTTAATACTGTGAAGTATGAACAGAATGAAATGCAGTTAAAATAACAACTCTTTGGGACCAAAGAATGAGAGTACAAGGATCAAGATTAAAAGATATAATAGTTAAGTAATTACACTGAGGTCTCTATAGCAGAAGGACCAGCCATTTATCGGACACTCTGAAGGTCATATTTTTGTTTTACAGACACATTTCCCAGTTAATTAGTGCAATTTTTACAGAGATTCCTGGGGATTGTTGCTACGGAATTCATTTTTAGAATTAGCCATTCCAAAGAGGAAGCTGGAACTATATGGGATAACCCTGGCAGTGAAATTAGTCTTCTTCTTGACTTTAACTTAATTGTAACTTGACTTATAATTACATGTTAGGACTTCAAGAGTTTATTCACAATGTATATTTTTCTGTTTCAGCAAGAGGAATTCACATTGGCTGAGGAGCTTACTCGTGAACACTTCATCATGGCCATTTAATCTACCATTCACCGTTGTTCTCACTGATTTAATTTCTCAATGTTTTTTCCACAGAAAGATTCAGAAAATGAAAAATACACTATACAGCAGATTATTGATAATCCAGATATCCTCTGAAAAGAATTGTTTGATGTGGGCAAAAGTTTGCCAGATTTAAGAAGGGACAGTGAGCACTCAACTTGCTTTAATGTTTGTTAAATTTTCTGGCTATTTTTATGAATTGTTAATGATCTAGACATCTTCAAATTTAAAAAAGATGCTGCACTAGCGGAGCCACTGTGGCATCATGATTAGTGCACATACCTGCCTAGACATTAACTTAGGTTCAGTTCCTAGCGGGGGCAGGATCTGGATTATTCTGGTTTTCCCAGGTAATGGTATCGCCCACTTTAAGAACCACTGGTCTAGAATAGGGGTTCCCAAATAGCTAAGATCTAGCAACCCACTATTTTTCAGAAGATTACGAGACCTCATATTAAAAAAATTCCTACTGAAGAACCTATTATAAGTTATAATCTGTAGAATTCCAGTTTAAGTAAAATCAGAAACCTGTTAGATTGGTTCTATGGGCCTCCAGGAATATGCAGACTACCAAACAGGAAACGCTGATTTAAAATATATGGGATGTTCACTTTAAAGTGAATTGTCTACTATAGGACTACATGTTTTTATGTAAAACAAAATGAGTTTTATAAGAAAACTTCAAAGAAATCAGTAAATAACATAGTGAGCTAAGCTTATGATCAAATGATGCTTAAAAAAATTGAAACTACATCATTGAAATGCTCAGATAATTTAATAGTCTACTGTTTGTTTTGATTATTTTTGCTCTGCTGTATATTTTTTTTAAGATACATTTTTGTGGTACTTTTATAATACAGTCTCATGGATAGGCATTCTCAACAGTACAGCTGTGTTGATTTATCAGCAAAAATTATACTGTAAAATCTAGAACTTGGAATCAGAGAACTTTTGTTCTAAAGAACTAAAATTATATACACTTTTTCTATGTTACTGATTATATGGTTTTATCCTTATTTAGCCTTAATTACTGACTTAGTTAATGATCATAGTAACATATGGTCAGCTTGCACAAGTTTTTTTGCTGTATGTTTCTTTTTCAAATTATTGTGTTTCAGTTACGTTAGAAAATTAACGAGTAAATGATCTCAAGTGCCTCATCTGTATCTTGTCTTTATGCTTTGTATAACTTGTATCGTTGTGTAGTACTTTTGTTTTTCTATTTTTGTACTCTTTAGAAATCCTATTTCTTGACTCTAGTTAATGTCTGTACTTCATATATTGTCTTTTGTATTGCAAATAGCTTTGTGTACTTAATCTTCTTTACGTGTTTACGTGCTTGAATTCCCTTAAATTTGTGTGAATCTTTTTTTTTTTTTTTTAAATATTTCCTTACTACTCCTTCCTATAATATTTGTACTGTATTTATAACTTTATTGCAAAAATATTGTTCTTGTCTTGACAGCTTTAATTCTTCAAAATATATTCTCTTTTAATCTTTATATTTTTTCTGCCTTATAATCTTTAAGGTCTATAACGTGGTTATATATAGACACATTCCCCAACCCACACAGGGCAGCAGGCTACTTAATGTAGCCATAGGGTTCCCCGAATAACTGTTTTATCAGTTGTGCTGGGTGTCTGAGATTTGTTCCTGTTAGATTGGCATCCAAACAATAGCTGCTTTTGTCAGTGAGTTTCAGACATTCATGCCGATATCCCAGAGGGAGAATACAGACAAAATGGCTTATGTGGTCAGAATATTGTAAAGCTTAGCTCAATGAGAATACTGAATAAATTTCCAGGCTGTGTTTGGTCTTAAAATTTTGTATTTTATATCTTATTTAAATGCCATATCGTGCCAAGGATTGGAACAAAGGTTCCCTGATACATGATACTGATGAAGAAACTCAGGAAATGCGCTGCCCTGTGATATTTATGGTGGAATGCAGATAAGTGATATTTAGAAGATCCTTGTTTCAACAATTTTACTTTCACTCAATAATTTCTTTCAACAGTTTTACTTTCAGTCAATTGTTTCTGTTGTTGGCATTTGCACATTTGTTTATTAATGGTAATGAAAATTATCTCTCTGTATTTTATTTGAAAATTGTTCAACTTGTTCTAGAATTTTATTTCAGTTAAAAGATCGATCTATTTATAAAAAATTGTTTTTTTGAAGGTTTCATTTTTCACAGTTTTCTTTTTTTTTTTTTAATTGCGATCTGGATTACATTTCTGTGCTGACTTTTTTCGCTACATTAAAGATTGATTTTAAAAAGTTGTTTGTTTCGTTTCTGTTTCATATTTATTTAATGTGTCTCCTCCCCCCCCCCCCCCCCCCCCCCCCCCCCCCCCCCGCCAGCATTGGAGCATAAGGGGTCTCCTTTGTGTACCATGTGTTTTTGGTATATGTTATGTGAAACAAAAACAAATATTGATGGCAGTTTATTGGTTACATCAGGTGTCAAAAAATTACACAACTTTCAGCTAAAATGACATCTACTGCTGGTCAGAAAATTTGAGTCTCCTGGCTGGAGCGTTAATTTTGATTAACCAAGTGTTTCAATAACATTAATTCCTTTTCTCTGTCTTGGTTTTTATTACTGATTTGGCTAACAGAGTCTTTTCACGTAAATTGAAAGTAGAAAAAAAAAATGACCAGCAATCTGATAGCTCTATAACTTAGATATGGATATTCTTTTTCGAATGATTTAAAAACTCAGACAATGACAGAAATTTATTTCTGAACACAAGACAACAGAAAATAAATTGAGAATAAAGCCTGACCTAGTACACCCATATAAGTACACCCATGTGGTCTTCGAGGTTGAGGTAGAAAACATATATAATCAACTTGTCATGGAAACATTTAGTAGTAGGACCTTGCATTAGCTGTTACTCAAAGGACAGCTTACGTTTGTGCATGCCCAATGTATGTTGACATTGATTGTGATGAATAACATAATATCTGTAGGTCACAATTTAACTTCTTCTTATAATTCATGTCGTGCAGCATTGGAATTCATTACGGTTTCTGTATTTTCAGCTATTTCTGACAGATAATCTTTCAGACTATGATGTCACACTGCCCAGCATTTTCTGTCTTAATCTCCCTTTGTTTTTTTTTCTCTCTAAATTCTCCCACTGTCGCAAGGTAGTACAGCTTCCCCTTCTTATGATGTTACAGAGAATAATAAGATTGTCTCTTTCTGATGCAGGTTAGTTCTGTAGTCAGTCTCTTTCTGATGCAGGTTAGTTCTGTAGTCAGTCTCTTTCTGATGCAGGTTAGTTCTGTAGTCAGTCTCTTTCTGATGCAGGTTAGTTCTGTAGTCAGTCTCTTTCTGATGCAGGTTAGTCTGTAGTCAGTCTCTTTCTGATGCAGGTTAGTTCTGTAGTCAGTCTCTTTCTGATGCAGGTTAGTTCTGTAGTCAGTCTCTTTCTGATGCAGGTTAGTCTGTAGTCAGTCTCTTTCTGATGCAGGTTAGTTCTGTAGTCAGTCTCTTTCTGATGCAGGTTAGTCTGTTGTCAGTCTCTTTCTGATGCAGGTTAGTTCTGTAGTCAGTATCTTTCTGATGCAGGTTAGTCTGTAGTCAGTCTCTTTCTGATGCAGGTTAGTTCTGTAGTCAGTCTCTTTCTGATGCAGGTTAGTCTGTAGTCAGTCTCTTTCTGATGCAGGTTAGTTCTGTAGTCAGTCTCTTTCTGATGCAGGTTAGTCTGAAGTCAGTCTCTTTCTGATGCAGGTTAGTCTGTAGTCAGTCTCTTTCTGATGCAGGTTAGTCTGTAGTCAGTCTCTTTCTGATGCAGGTTAGTTCTGTAGTCAGTCTCTTTCTGATGCAGGTTAGTTCTGTAGTCAGTCTCTTTCTGATGTAGGTTAGTTCTGTAGTCAGTCTCTTTCTGATGCAGGTTCTGTAGTCAGTCTCTTTCTGATGCAGGTTAGTCTGTAGTCACTTTCTGATGCAGGTTAGTCTGTAGTCAGTCTCTTTCTGATGCAGGTTAGTTCTGTAGTCAGTCTCTTTCTGATGCAGGTTAGTTCTGTAGTCAGTCTCTTTCTGATGCAGGTTAGTTCTGTAGTCAGTCTCTTTCTGATGCAGGTTAGTCTGTAGTCAGTCTCTTTCTGATGCAGGTTAGTTCTGTAGTCAGTCTCTTTCTGATGTAGGTTAGTTCTGTAGTCAGTCTCTTTCTGATGCAGGTTCTGTAGTCAGTCTCTTTCTGATGCAGGTTAGTCTGTAGTCAGTCTCTTTCTGATGCAGGTTAGTTCTGTAGTCAGTCTCTTTCTGATGCAGGTTAGTTCTGTAGTCAGTCTTTTTCTGATGCAGGTTAGTTCTGTATTCAGTCTCTTTCTGATGCAAGTTAGTTCTGTAGTCAGTCTCTTTCTGATGCAGGTTAGTCTGTAGTAATTTCTCTTCCTAATTTAATATCTTTCAAGACATCTACCTCACTGTTTTTATTAGTCCACAATGTTCTTATCATTTGTCTGTGAAATCACATCTCTATTGCTTCCACATAATTTTTTTTTAGTAATCGAAATGTTCAAGATCCATGTCTGTATATCAGATTAGCTGATATAGCTGAAGTAGGTAATGCATAAAATATTCTTCTTTCTTTAAAGTGCCACCTTTGCTTGAGATATTTTACCTTTTTTTGCCAGAGATGGACAGTCTTAGAAAAATATGAATGTAAAATTACAACATCTGAGATGAGATGTATAAGAAAAACAGGGATTAGTGTTGTTTACATCATTGCACTTTGGTCTCATCCAAAAGTGCTCTGATCTCCTCGGTAGCTCCATAAGATTAAAACAAAAGATCATGCCCGTTCTGTATTGACTGATCATTAATCAGACGTTTTGTGCCCTTTGTGAAATGTTTATGTCTGGCTACTCTAAACTGCATCCCCATGCCCGCTAACCTGGACAAGGATACTGAGTACAGCTTGTCATCATCTTCATGGTATTCATCTCACATGGCATGACATCTATCCTGTTCAGTACTGGGCCTGTCATGGTAGCAGCGTTGTCTGCCGGATAATTTGCACGCTCATTGCTTTCAACACCCCCCTATTCGGTAAAAAGATAAAGGTATTGCGAGTTAATTGTGATGGATTTAATGAGAGAATCCATTCTTTTTAAATCGTTGAGTTTGCACGCATCTGCTAATTCTTGATCACCCAGCCATGTCAATGCCCTTGTTGCCGCCATGGTTTACACTGCGAGTCGGCTGATTGTAACAGCAAGAATTACTCATATCCCTGATAGTTTTTGGCTTTGTGCTCACAGTGAACACCCTTTTGCTGACTCCGGGTGACTTATCCTTGTAAACCATAGCATCATTGACATCAAGTGTCTTCTCATCAATATCTTTTGACTCAAGGTTCCACTATGACACGGATCTGTTCTCCACATCTTCAGATAAGAGTGATACGGACTATGATGCTGATGTTTGAAGCAATTGGCAAATACACCAAATCATTTCCTAACAACTGGAGGCCCACAGGCCAAATCTGGCCCACGGAAGCCTAGCAAGTGGCCCACAGATCATTGACAGCTGTATTGTATTAATTATATTGCTATGCTTTGGGCTCAAAGCTCTGGCCCGCGACGATGCACATAAAAAAAAAAAAAAAATTGGCCTATGGGTAAACTTAATTGAATAGGAACTAAAATAATGTCTGGAAAGCGACCAATCTGCTGGATTACATCGTCCATACGACTCATTCAAGATGCGCCTTTTTAAAGTCTATTTGTGTGTGTGTGTGTGTGATTTGAATAATTCATCGAGAAGCGGGTGTCGCGGGTATGATTTAACCTTGAGGGAAGCTGTGGTCCTGGACAATTTGATTTTGTTGTTAAACAGGCGTTCCATTGACTGGCAGAAGGTGGTCATAGTGCAACCAGGAATAACACGCATTGCCTCGTTTTCATTTTCCCCCTCAGTCTCTTTATCCGTGTGGCGAAGAAGAATCAGTCACAAATGAAGAATAAAGAACAATAGTTGGCACAGTACCGATAAATGGTTTCATACAATCAAAAGTTTTTGTCATCAGGCCAGAATGGAACAGATGCAGCCAGAGCGTATTAAATGATAACAGTATGTTACTAGTAAAAAAAAAAAAAAAACATTGAGGGAGTAAAAGAGACACTAAAAAAACACCGCAATATGACAGCACTAACTAGTGAAAATATGAGGGTGACTGTAGTCAAGCTAATAATACAAGGAATTCCAGCGAAATTGACTTAAAAGCTTAACCAAACGGAGAAGCAGAAAAACGTGCACAAAACAACACAAATAACGTACGTTTCGGCCGTGCAGCCTTTGTCAAACATTAAGTGAACTATACAAAGGTAACAACGAGGAGAGGAGAGTATACATATCTTATTGTCTCTAAGGGGTGACGTGAGCAACGATAACGTTGTTACCTTTGTGTAGTTCACTTCATGCTTGACAAAGGCTGCCCGGCCGAAACGTTACGTTATGTTGAAGAATGTCTAATTAAGAGTCGACATCACAGCACTCGGGATACTTCCAAAAGTGCTTAGTCCCCATCTTCAGCTGCAAGCGAATAGATCTAATTCCGATGGTACCAGTAACTTTCTGATTGTATATCCGTCTCATCTTTTTCCTGAGTGTTGAGCGTCGGCTAGATCCCCGGGTAACTCCTCCCAGCGCCATCCTCCTTAGACCGTAATGATCTATCTGCGTCTCCGCACTGTTCACCCGTTCCTAAAGGGCCCTCACCATATCTAACTTGTCATACGTCAGTTCACCACCAAGTGGTGCAGAGCCGGCCTGTCTATCTGCTTGCTCATTTCCCAACACACCGGCATTCCCTGGAGAAAATATCCAAAGGATTCCAGTTACCCGGGACCTCTGATGTGATGCTTGCCACTTGGCACGAAGCATGCCTGTTTTCACCTTTCTCAAAATGCTCTGTGAGTCAGTTACAATCATGGCATGTGTGTACAGCTGATTCTCAAGCCAACGGAAATGCAGCAGAGACAACCTCCACCTCCATTCTCAAATTAGACGTGTGGATGTAATATGCAATGTTTTGCTGCATTAGGCGACGTCCATTCGCCCATGCACTTAGTCAGCCCCTCAACACAGATCCATTTGTATAGATAATCATTAATTTGGACGGGAATTGTTATGAATCATTTGTTGGACTTCTGATTCTGCAGCACCAGCTGGCCAGTCTATGCAATCACGACATAACATGATTGCACAGCAGATTTTGTGGTTTTCCCGACACATAGCTATAGTAAAGTTCATTGAATGCAATATCTAAATGTTGCCTATGAACTGTTACCACACATTTTATACGTACAAATCGGCAGCGTTCGCAGATTTACGGGAGAACTGATTTTACAGACTTCACTTTTCAAGATAAGAGTCGTTAGTCAGTGCCACAAATTAAAAAAAAAAAGGTGAAAATTCATGTAGACATATTTCGCACGAAGTAAAAAGTAAAGGACCCCTGCCGATCCTTCAATCATGCTGGGCGTATAAGGTTAGTCGGTTAGACCTATATTTTATAGACCAGTCGGCACTTGGTGGTTGATGTAGTCAACACTGAACATGTAGGCAACGCTGACTGCCTTTACTTCACAGAACTTCGCCTGGTACCCATTTCAGGCTGGGTTGACCTGGGAGCCAAAGTCATTTTTGAAAAAAGTCCGGTTCCATCAGAAACTGAACCCACGACCTTTAGATCCTCATGTAGCATCTAGCCGCTACACCACCACGGCTCCCTTCGCACAAAGTAAGTGTGATTTAGTACGAAAATTTTAGGACTGTGTTCTCTTGTGCACAGATTATGTACGATCATTACTAATTTAGCATTAGGTGTAATAGATCCTGAAAATAGGAGTGACTGCTCTTCTTTTCCTTACCCTCCTTTGAACGTTGTATTCATAGTTTGTATTATGTCTTGTTATTATTACAACAATCTTGGTGGCGAACTGGTTTCCTTCTTTGTGCCTTGAAAGCCTTGAGTTAAATCTTCCTCTCTCTTGCCCTAATTCCAAGTGAGAGTCTTTCGAAGATCCCTGGTAACACCGCTAGAGATTCAGAATTTCGTGCCGTGTGCCACCCTCTGTGCTGACGAACAGCCGCTCTCCGCAGAAACCGAGTCGTGTGGGAAACCCAGTTCGATAAAGTAGATTCTCTTGCCTTTCATCATCACCATCAAGTGACTTGCTGACTAGCGGGACCGATCATTCATCTCTACAATTTGCGATTCTAAACATCATATATCTCTTGTTGTACTGACACCTTCCATGCCATGACAAAAAGGTGTCATGAATTTTCTCACTTTTTATTCCTGTTCTATCTCTCCACAAATATTTCATGTCTTCATAACATATGCCAGTTTCATTCCTCATACCGAGGTGGGGGGGGGGGGGGGGGGGGGGGGGTGAGGAAAAAAAAAGGGGGGGGGGGGATTATGATTCTCTTGCCTTCAAACACCTCTAAAATATCGCTGGCATTGTTGAAACCAACCAACCAATAATAACATAATATATCGTTTTGTTTGTCAACGCATTATTATTATTATTAGTGATGTTATGATTATTGTTGTTGTCATCATTATTGTCGCTACTATTTCGCCACTTGACATTATTATATACTTAGACATGGTACTTTTATCCGAGCGCAGAGGTCCAAATATTAAACCAGACTACGCGGAGCACCATGGAAAGGTGGAAAAACCGTGTTGCCCTGGTGACCGGAGCGTCAAGAGGTATCGGGGCGGCAATCACCGAGGTCTTGGTTCAGTCTGGGATGATTGTTGTGGGAGTGGCCAGAGATATCGTTCAGCTCGAGGTAAGACTTTGATCAATCAATTCATCAGCTTCCATGTTTTGCCATTTGGCATGGTTGGTAAGAACAACTGGAGGTCCGGCGATCCATGAGTAGTCCTGGCTACTGTCCTTTCGTGTAGAGGTAAGACTTTGATCAATCATTTCATCGGCTTCTAATTTTTGACATTTGACATGGTGGGTAAGAACAACTGGAGGTTCGACGCTCCACGACTAGCACTGGCTATTGTCATTTCGTTTGGAGTTAAGACTTTTTGATGAATCAATTCATCAGCCTCCATGTTTTGCCATTTGGCATGGTGGATAAGAACAACTAGATGTTTGACGCTTTATGAGTAACACTGGCTATTCTCCTTTCGTGTGGAAGTAGAATCTGTTTAATGTCGTCAGTCTGTTTTCTCCCTGGACGCTCTCTTGTTTTCACAACAGATGGTGTGGGTGTAAATCATTTCTTGGTAGTTGTTGTGGCTGCATTCTATCGAAATTAACCTACTATTTCATATTGTGCTTTTCAGTGTATTTGTTGCAAATCTTGTTCCAAAAATGTGTCAGATAATATCACTTCTCCCTAGTCTCGAATGGTTAACTCTTTTAGTACCAAGGAACGCATGATGTTTGATCGGTTGCGGCTTTTATAAGAATAAATAGAGATTTTTGTGAATTTTCCATTTTAAAAAGTGTTTCCTGATTCTACTACAACAACTTGGCGTCGTCAGTAGCAACTTCTTTGCTTTATATCACTACATCATTTAAAAAAAAAAAAAAAGGTAGTTTACGCTGACGAAAAGTGATAATTTTTGTGGTGAAAGCTTGTCGGACTAAAAGAGTTAAGTCGGCGGGTACTAAATTCCTGCCTGATCAGGACCTCGGGTTACTTGCTAATCGTCCGGTGCCCTATCACAGCCAGTTCCAGCAGTACTGTCGTTCACCTATTTACTGATTTACTGATTTAAGAACTGACATCATAGTAGACCGCGCATACCCATAGATGGTCCGTCTTCAGCAGCAGATGACGTAATGTGTAAATGCTAAACTGTTCCTGTAGCACACTGATTATACACACGCCGATCTTTTCCTCTCATCCATCCCTCCTTGCCGAATCCACACCTAATTTCTCGTTCACACATTCTTGCCCATGTTATTTCATCTATCCTTGTGTCTTCATATATGGTCCTTGTCCAATCCGAGTGTTCCCGAAGTTTTCGCAATTGTAGCCAGAAAGTCTGCTCTGTCATTCCCTCGCACTCCTGCATGCCCCGGACAGTATATCCACATGATTACCTGCAATGTTGTTGTACTGATGCATGGTATCCACTAATGCCACGTTAGTACTGCCGTATCGAAGTATAACGTTCAACTGGAATTCCTGGAATTTGTACGTTAAAGTTTCTCATTACTGAGTGGTTAATCCCACCGACTTTACTCCTGAAGGGAGCAAACTGCAGTTCAATGCTGTGTCAATGCAGGTTAGCGTTTTCTTTGGGTTCTCCTTGGACGTCACATGTGTTAGGGTTACGTAGGTGAGCCTGTAGTAATAACAAAGTTTGGCACAGGTAGAACAGTGCCTCCTACCCATTCTATGCCTTTGTCCATCACATACTTTTAAGCCCTGTCTCTAATGCTCTTGTGTATAGTTTTAGGGGTTTTCACGTTCTCCTTTGAATTTTGAGTTTCTCATAAACAACATTAGTTGTGTTTATATTTTGTATCTGTTATATTGATCGACTTTATCATTTGTTCCTTATCGAATATATTTATTGTTCTTTACAGTTATATATGTTATTCCTTATCAACTTTATCTGTTTTTTTTTATACGTTCTGTCCTTTTCGGTTATCAGCTGTTTCCGCAGTTCCTTATCAGTTATATTCCTTGTTCCTTATCTTTTTAATTTGTTGTTCTTTTTTAGTTGTATTTGTTAGTACTTTTCAGCTATAAGTCTGGCCGTTGTTTCTTATAAACTGAATCCGTTGTTTCTGATCAACTGTAGACCAATCCATTGTTCCTTGTCAACTGTAGGCCAATCCGCTGTTCCTTGACAACTGGAGACAATCCCTTGTTCCTTGTCAACTGTAGGTAAATCCGTTGTTCCTTATCAACTGTAGGTCAATCCGTTGTTCCTTATCAACTGTAGGCCAATCCGTTGTTCCTTGACAACTGGAGACAATCCCTTGTTCCTTGTCAACTGTAGGTCAATCCGTTGTTTCTTGTCAACTGTGGGTCAATCCGTTGTTCCTTATCAACTGTAGGTCAATCCGTTGTTCCTTATCAACTGTAGGTCAATCCGTTGTTCCTTGACAACTGGAGACAATCCCTTGTTCCTTGTCAACTGTAGGTCAATCCGTTGTTCCTTATCAACTGTAGGTCAATCCGTTGTTCCTTGTCAACTGTGGGTCAATCCGTTGTTCCTTGTCAACTGTGGGTCAATCCGTTGTTCCTTGTCAACTGTAGGCCAATCCGTTGTTCCTTGACAACTGGAGACAAACCCTTGTTTCTTGTCAGCTATATCTGCCATTTCTTGTAAGCTGTCAATTGCCAGTCTGTTCTTTGTCTGCTGCTGCTACTGTTTCCCCTCCGGGCTTATACCTTATAGTTTGACACTCCCAGATCACAGAATCAAAATATGGTTGCAGACCAGCACGGCAAATTCCAGTTACCCTATTCAATACATTGAGAATTTTTTTTTTTTTTTAATTGTTGCAATCGGAAAATTTTGATTGTTCGTCCATTTCTGGTTTTTGAGTTTTGCGTGCACATCCGTTTCACAGATCTGGCTTTTGTGTGTGCAGAAAATTATTCCTCGACTATCAATCAGATCACGCAGATTTCAGAGGAAAAATTCATAACTATTCGCATTTTACGACAAAGGAATCAAAATGGCGAGACCCGTAGAATGCTTTCTCAAGATATGTGGAGAAAGCCTTGACTCGTGTTAGTTACACCAGCCTTGCGCAACCTGCAGGCCTGTGTGGGCAAGGAACTATATACTCACAATTCATCATACTTGCTGACTTATTGTCGCCTGACGCTCTGATATAGCGAATCCGCCGTCACAATTTCTCAATCAGAAAGCCACCAAAACTGGTACAAGACTATTACCAATTTATGGACAGATCAGAGCATGCAATTTGTATACGCCTTAGAACAGGACACGATCGATTTCGCAGCCACATGTTGACAAAATTTAAAATCAGCAAATCGGCCATGTGCACATGTGGATTGGTACCTGAGACAACAGATCATATCCTCCAAGACTTTCCCAAGTACAAAATATCAAGGCAAAACTTTTGGCCAAGAGAAACATCGGTGCAAGTCAAACTTTACGGGTCGCTGAGTGAATTACAAAAGTCAGTGAAGTTCATACTAGAGAGAACACTGCAGATATAGATAATTTATTTCAAGTGAACGAAAGAAAAAGAAGACAAATTTATGTGTGTGTGTTTTTAAGCCCCACCTTGTCTGTGGTCGAGTAGCCCTAATCTATACTAAGGGTTAAACAGGGTTTCTGGGACGTGTCCCCAGGCGATCATCATCTGAATGGCGGCACTTTGTGTCACCAGGTGTTTATCGCTCGGTGTTATGTCTTGGCGGGGTTGAAGGTCAGTTAATCAACTCTTAATTATTTATGCAGCAAATGTCTGTAGACTTCAAGGTGGCAAGCCTGCCAGGAAGCTTGGTTCCTATGAAGTGTGACATCAGCCAGCCGGAAAACATTAAACAACTGCTGACCACCATAAGGGCAGATCCGGACATGGAAGGCATTGATGTTCTAGTCAACAACGCGGCAATCGCTTACGCCGAGCCCATTCTAACTGGAACTCCCAGTGTCTGGAAAACTATGATTGAGGTTAGTCTGTCGTGTGAGGTTTGTGTTTTCTTGTTGAATCTTCAATCAGGCATGTAGACTGGTCGATTCTGCACCACTTGGTGGTGTACTGATATATGACTAGCTAGATGTTATAAGGGCCATTTGGGAGCACGTGAAGAGTACGAAAGCACAAATAGATTACTACGATCTGGGTAGAATGGGAAGTTACCAGGGGATCTGGTCGACCCTTAACTCTCAAGGGAAAAGCTTGACGAATGTGCAGTCAGACAGTTACTGGTACCATCGGAATTTAAAATATTTGCTTGCTGTTGAAGGCGTGGACGGAGAGTTTATAGGAGTGTATCGAGTGCCATGATGTTGATTCTTAATTCAACATTCATCCCAACATCTTGAAGACTATTTCAGACGTGTGTCAGGTGGAAACTGTTTTCCTGTTGATTTAATGACATTTTGATGCTGAGCCTGTAACAGATAAATCAGCATTGACTTGGAGATGTGTGGTGAAAATCCTACTTCCCAGAATATTAACTAATAATAGTAATACATTTAGTCGACATGGGAGCCCATATCCATTTATTAAAACCCCTGTTCCATGGGGTTTAAATGTGAAATGTGTGGTACGTTAGTCCGACCAATGCGCAACAGGGAAGTACTGTTACGTGTATAAAAATTCCCCTAGACACTCACAAGCCGGAAATAAAATAATCACTTGACAATAGTAGAGCCGATAGCCAGGTGGATTGTTATCAAGCCATAACAGTCATGTGTAACAACATTCACTTAACATACCACAGTCAATCCTTAAAGTGCTGTTGCGCTGCTTTTGAGAACAGCGTCTGCCATGGGAAAGCTGTAGTCGGTGTCTGTGGCTTGGACGTTACGAACGCGCTTCGTAATGCTGTGGTGCCGGGTTCGATCCCTGCTGCGGACGATTTGTCTTGTGCTAGTTTCGGCAGCGTGGTACAGCGAGCTGACCATTCAGTGGGTAATGACAAACTATTGAACGTAAAATTTGCCTAGAAAAACCACAACAGTCAATAAATTCTGGGGTTGGTTCTGCAACGTCCTGTAAAGGATACGCAACCAACTTACTCTAAAAGCTGTGGGGTGACCTCTCCAGCGCGCAACCTGGGATCGTTAATTAGAGTACCGGCACTTTGCCGATACTTCATTTAAAAGGCTATTTGCCAATCCAGTTTGGCACCGTTGCAAAAGTACATAAAGAACCCTTTTACATGCTCAGAAACCTCTTTTCCATGGATACTAATTTTCTTTTATGTTTTGTTGTATGTGACCACGTCTATGCACAGGTAGCATGGGGTGGGAATGAATATGATTTGTATGAGATGTTTCTTTGTGCTGACTGGGATTGCCTCATGCTGTAAGTGAGGAGCTAGCTGTCCCAATACTTGGTCAGTTTAATTGCATTGAATGCCAATTTCTTCGTCTAATTCACCATCTTCAGCAAATTTGGTTCCAAGATATTTAAATTCAGGTGCTTGTTTAATCTATGTATGCTCTAATGCTGCGTTTAAGTACTTCTTCTTTCTTCCTGTTGACGTTACTTCTGTCTTTTCGATGTTGATTCTCATGTTATTTGAATTAATTCTTTATTCATGGATGTGAGATGCTGTTGCAAATTCATGGCTGTATCTGCAATCAAGGCCTGGTCATCAGCAAAAAGGAATTCGTTGATGTTACTATTATTTTCGTTACTGTGCCTGGCACCCTTGCTTATAGTGTCAGTGTAGGTGACAAACAGGAGTGGTGAAACGACACATCCCTGTCTTACTCTAGATATTACTTTGAATGATTTAGATGTTCCCTGATTTATTTTGACTACGCTTCTACAGTTGCTTTATAAGATTTTGCAAACCTGAGTGAGGTGTTCACTTACTCCATATCGAGCCATTACTTTCCATAATTTTTTTCCATCGACCCTGTCGAAAGCTTTCTCTTGGCCTACAGTCAGTAATCCACCGTAATAGATATTAAGGGAACATTTCGACCTCTTCAAGGGGAAATATTCAAAGATACACTAGTTTTATTTGTTTTGATCTCTTATAAACTAATAGTCACACTTTTACTTCGGTTAGGGCGCCGTCAAAAACATTTTGATTGAAAAAAGGCGCCGCGACTAAGAACAGTTTGGAAAAAATTGCTTTAACCTGATGAACAGAGTGCTTTACTTACTAACTTCATCGTCTTACAGACAAATCTGCTGGCCCCGGCAATTCTTACACAAGAAGCCGTCAAGTCTATGAAGGAGAAAGAAGTGGACGATGGTCACATCATTTTCATTAACAGGTAAACACGAGTAAATAATAGGATTTTAAAAACTGACAAGGTCGACGCAGCCGTGAAGGGTGCCAGTTAAAGCCCTGCAAAGTATAGGCTGTCGGGGTAAAGTTGACCATGTTCAGGCCCTGAGAAATATCCCGCGAGCGGTTTTGGACAATTAAATGACTCGGTATTCTGCCTTTCTATCTTGCAATGGAGCATAGGTCCTTAACCAACACACACCAAGTCGTTCTAACCTTGGCTATCGCATACCAGTCTCCCCATGCCCTCCCCATCTTTTTAACCCTAATCTCAAGCTCCATTCTCCGTGTGTTCTTTATTCCTTTATCCAAATGTCACTGTGGGTTTCAGTGCAAAGACATTCTAGTTATACTGCTTTCAGGTTTTCTCAACGTGTGTCCTATCCAACGCCAGATTTTTTTCTGCACCTCTTATCAATTTATAAGTTACTATGTATTGTTGTGTATTGCTAATATGAAATCTTACTTTTCAGATTATTTATGTGGCAATAATACTGTCACCGTGGCCGAGCGACTAGACGCTCGCCACGGATCGGAAGGTCGTGGGTTCGCTCCCTGGCGGAGCCGGACTTTTTTCAATATGACCTTGGCTCCAAGGTCGATCCAGCCTTGAGTGGGTACCGGGTGCATTCCCGGGAAAGTAAAGGCGTCTGGCGTGATGCTGACCACATCACCGATCTTGTGCCGACTGGTCTATAAAAATATAGGTCTAGCCCTAAATGCCCTTATACGCCTAGAGGCGTGGAAAGAGTCCTTTGCTTATTTTTTTTGTTTCAAAATAATTCTGTCTTGTGGTTAAAGGTGCATTCAAACAGGTAGCCATATTATTAGCTCTATTAGTCGTTCCCACGTGGGATACAATATTTCGATATTTGAATCCCCACCCTTGTTTTTGCCGGTCCATAAATATGGCCGAACGGCCTAATGGGGTTGCTGGGACCTCTCCACGGGTGATTCTTATCCGCATAGTGGCACTTTATGTCACCTGGTGTTTATCTCTTGCGTGTTATCTTGGTGAGGTACAAAAAGAGTGAGAGTGAGAGGGTTGCCATTTTTCCGACAAAGCCTCTATATACAGAACAAATTTCTTCCTTCTCTAGCGTTCAACAGCTATAAACTCCTGCAGAAAGTGTTGCTAGTTCATCCATTTCTAAACTGGTATCTGTATTTTGAGTTTGGCTTTAATATCCGTTTTACAGACCTGGCTTATTAGTACGCATATTGTTGGTTTCTGGTTTATCATACAGATGCACTCCAATTTGATAGGAAACATCTTTTATTAGTTGCCTCATGCAGTATGCTTGTTAGATAGACAGAAGGCCTATTCTTTTATCTACACCAACAATGAGGCCCCAGAACCTACACGAAAAATAACAGGTTTAAATATAAGTTGTAAAATGACTGTTTCAGTTTAGCTGGACATCGATTGCTACCAGGCAATAAGGATCTCCATATGTACAGTGCCACAAAGTTTGCTGTGAGGGCTATCTTAGAAGGGGTCCGTTACGAGCTGCGTCAGATGGAGTCTGGTATCCGAGTCTCGGTAAGGCTTTTATACAAAATGTCCACACCACAACACTACACTGAACTTAAAATAGGTGTGACTGCGGTCGAGTAGATGTCAAGAAATGTTTTCTTAATCACTTGCTTACTTCGTCGATCCTCTTCTATCCTGGGGTGGAGGGATTTGCCAGAAAGATTGCCAGACTTCTTTATCTCGCCGGTGCTACAGAGTTCGTGCACTGCTCTGAAATTTTTCAGACTTAGGCTTGGGTCAGAAGTAGAACGGAGCACTTATAGGTTAATACCCTTGTGTCCTGATGCTGATTCATCATCTAAACCTAAAACCTTTATCCACAAAGACCAGTCCCAAGCCCGGCTAAAAAAAGGAAGATCTGGCTGAACCTGGGTGCTTCATGCATCTCTGGAAATTTGGGTAAAGCCTTAAATCAGCAAGACATCTTGCACTGGGGCTGCAAGGAGGCAGACCCTCCATCATGCAAAGGGACAACAGTTCAATCAGCTGTTAATGACTACAAGGTGCCGCATAAAGAAAAGAAGAAGCAGAAGAAAGAAATGAACTCACTAAACACAAACTACGATAGTTGTTCCGTATAAGTCCTTATCTTAACTATGAAAGAAATGACATAGGGAGCTTACATTTACTAGTGTTTTTCTATTTCATTATAGCCACCTCGAAAATGTAGACATTTTTGCCATTTCTTTTTTTGCCTTGCAAATAGAATACCATAATTTTATTCTTATTCTTCAGTAGCAAATTGAATTCCTTTTATCCGTTTTTTTTTTTTTAAAGTTTTGGAAACAGAAAAAAGTATGAGGGTACAATATCTGGTGAAAATCGTGGCTTAGGAAGAATTTTAACACTCAAACTGTTGGCTGTTAAATGCACTATCCGTGCTTTATGAGAAGGGTTAGTTCAACTATAATACTCCAGAGACCACACACATACACATTAGCTCACTTCTGATTGGTCGACCTTGAGACACCCGACCATCGCACACTGCTACGGGGGTGTTCAGCAACGCCATTGCTATCGCATTTTGTCTATTTAAGTACGCCAGCGCTTTTAAGACTACACAAGATTTAGAAACTGGGTCTAACGCCGACACCCCTTTCCCTTCCCAGAGAGTGGGACAACCTATGTCCCAGGCATTCTCTTTCTCTGAAGAAAAACATAAATGCAAGGTAAGCCAGAAAGCAAACAGCATAGCGACAAACCCGGAACCCCCGCACAGCAGACCAGTCCAAAAAAGTTATTGGAGCATGACCTAGTTTTTCTGGGGGTACTTTCGTCGAACTAAACATGAGAAGGAGTTACAAACGTTTGATCTTTACGGTTACTTCTTTATAGTCGGTGTAAGGACTTATAGATCAACCATGTTATGACTCTTAGACTCAACGACATGGGAAGAAAAACAAATGCGCACATATATAACGAAACGTTTCGTCTAAAGTCTTTATCATTATAAAGAATAAGAAGAAATGTAAAAACTTCAAAGTAAAATAGAGGAAATAACAGGTTACGACATTCTGAGCCCAGTAGAAATCAAAGTTCAACATCCGCGCCCCCCCCCCCTCCCCCTTTTTCTCCCACCCTCTCCTTTTTTTTCGATTTCAATCTTTTTACAGAAGTTGAATTTTGATGCACATCCGTTTTACAGATCTGGCTTACATGTTGGTTCCTCGCCGCACAGGAAATGCACTCTGAACATTCTTCTTCTTCTTCTTCTTCTTCTTCTTCTTCTTCTTCTTCTTCTTCTTCTTCTTCTTCTTCTTCTTCTTCTTCTTCTTCTTCTTCTTCTTCTTCTTCTTCTTCTTCTTCTTCTTCTTCTTCTTCTTCTTCTTCTTCTTCTTCTTCTTCTTCTTCTTCTTCTTTTTCTTCTTCTTCTTCTTCTTCTTCTTCTACTTCTTCTTCTTTGGCGTTGTGAGAGGGTCTGAGTTTTGCGTGTTTATCCATTTTACTGACTTATTTGTGTGCAGTTGGTTGTTCCTTGCCGCTCGATCAGATGCGCTCCTACTTCCCAATTAGTCGACTCCTACGACATGCTTGTTGGGTGCATTAGTGGGTCTACTCTAGTTTTCTCAAAAATGGAGAACCCACACGGTGAAAATCCATTCTATTCTCACATTTCATTATACAATTTCAGGCTGTTAGTCCAGGAGTTGTAGAAACTGACATTTTTGTGAAGTTATTCGACAATGACGATGAGAGAGCCAAGAAGTTCCTGTCCGAAAGAAAGGTAATGAGTTATATCGAACATCTGCTTTCAGCATGCATGAGCACTGAAACCTGATGGCATAGGCTCCTAACACCCTACCCCCCCCCCCCCCCCCCTTCCTCCCCTTTTTGTATTTTAAAATATGTAAGGGAACTTACTTATGTCAATAATAAAATGCTTTCTTTTAAAGTATTCGCTTCTATATTTCATGCTATTTCAAATATAATAATACTGTTTGCCACTCAGAACATAATTATTATTATCCACTTAAACACAGCTCACGCCCCTTGAGCCTACCTCTAGAAAATTTCTACGGGTCTGAGTCCTATCCCTTTTTTCGGCGCGATTAGTAAAATGTCAGCAAGGGATAGTAAGTAGTTAGTGCAGCTGTTATCCTTATTGCCCATTGAAACACTGAGTCTATAAGTGCTCGGATCCCCTCCTCAGTGCATCCTACAGCGAGTAGCGGCTGTTGACACCCATTCTGTGTTGGTTTCTTATTCTTCGGCTTGCTGCCTAGTGCACTTGTCGGACCACATCCCTTCTAACATCCATTTTAACATGTTGTTCTTGTAGTCAAGTCAACGTTGTAGATTCACGGTCATCACTTGGCTCTGGCAAACGTCTCACTTCTCGTTGGGCATTCAGAATATCAGCCTCGTCCGTGGCACGTCTGCAATCCAAAGTAGCGAAAGCTGTAAGCATATCAGCTTGCTCGTTTCCTTGCAAACCTGCTTGCCCTGGCATGAATATAAAACTGATATTTGTCAGGTCCGAACGTTTCAGAGAATGCAACCATTGTCTTCAGACCCAGCCCATCTCTATCGTCCTGAGCACAAGGGTTAATGGATAATATATACAGGATATGTTATGCTATGTATCGGTTTAGGAATTAATAAGAGAATGATTCAACGGCTACTGTGGTCTTTATACGACTTTGAAATGATTAAAAGCAGTTAGTAGGAAACATATCTATGTATAAAAGAAAAAAAGAAAAATGACAGAAGAAAAAGGATCTGACGAACGTTGAATTACCTATAATCCCAACCCATTCGTCAGTCATCAGACAGCTGTCACAAAGTAACATTTTGAAAATTATTTTGTATTGCTTATGAAATTTTACGACTGTTTCGTTAACAATATCTTGTTGTTGTTGTTCTTCTTCTTCATCATCATTACCATTATCATTACCATCATCATCATCATCATCATCATCTTCTTCTTCTTCTTCTGCTTCTGCTTCTGCTTCTGCTTCTGCTTCTTCTTCTTCTTCTTCTTCTTCTTCTTCTTCTTCTTCTTCTTCTTCTTCTTCTTCTTCTTCTTCTTCTTCTTCTTCTCCTTCTTCTTCTTCTTCTTCTTCTTCTTCTTCTTCTTCTTCTTCTTCTTCTTCTTCTTCTTCTTCTTCTTCTTCTTCTTTTTCTTCTTCTTCTTCTTTTCGTTTGCCTTTATAAGTGCAGTTCATATGTGTATTGTGGTTTACAGTTAGGTTGCGATGTTTTCACAGCTAATTTTACCAAGCTTCTAAATCACATCGACATTTTTAGAGGAAAATGGTTCTATTCTCCCCCTTTCCTTTCCTTTCCCCACCCCCTGTTTTCAGATAAATGTATGTTTCTGCTGAAGCCGTGGCAATCTGAATAATTATCACGAGTTACTTGTCGGGTCTGGTTGCTACTGTCATTAGCACCTGACTTTGCTAGGATCGATCTGGTTCTACTTGAGTTTAGATGTACTGACGGAATTCCCGATCCCTTGGAATTCGTTTAACTGTATTCCGTGAAGAATTATTGGAGGAATTTTGACACTTTGCCAAATAAAAAATCGTCACATTCAGCCAGCATCCCCGATGGGGGAGCTTTAGGTTAAAATTGTGGCTGAAAATGACTCATGCAGTGTTGATGTGATCAAAGGAGAGAGACCCAAATACTGTCCCGACCGGCAACAAAGTCGTCTACAGGCGAGCTAATGGGCGACTTGATCACGGATGACCGAGGTCTGAGCGTTCCCTTTCCATTAAATAAAGTAAGTAAAGTAAAGATCCCTTTTCACGCCTTTTTGCGCATCAGGCATATGGGAGGAGCACCCATATTTCCGATCGGCACTAGGTGGGTAATGTGGTCAGCATTATGCCGGCCCTCTTTACTTCCCCAGGATATCCATCCTGGTACCCATTTTAGGCTGGATTGACCTGCGACGCCCCACACCATAATAAAAATCCACGCAGCCAGCAGTGGGTTTCGATCGCGATACGTTCGAATTACGCTTTCCATAAAATATGGTTGTGGTTTAGGCCACTAAGTCCGGTGCCACTGGTTGACATTGACTAACTTGCCTGCCTTCCTCCTCTTGATGTGTTCGAAGCGACAATGAGGTAAAGAATCTGTAAATTAGCAAAAGCTTTCAAGTCGATAAGTCTTTGGTGTTTTTAAGTAAAGGCGTTCGCATGCTATTGACAAACTCATTTATCAGATCATGCTGAATGAATAATTTTATAGGACATTTGTATCTCGACTTGTCATATGGTTGAACACTGCGCAAGATACCTTTACTTCCCAGTCTTACATGGCTAACAAGAAATTTCCCTGGAGGTCAATATATCACATCAACGACTGTGTTCATATGGTTGAACACTGCGCAAGATAACTTTACTTTCCAGTCTTACATGGCTAACAAGAAATTTCCCTGGAGGTCAATTTATCACATCAACGACTGTGCCGGCTGGTCTGTGGCAGAATGAGACTAGCACTAATAAGTGAAGCTGAACTGACCAGGTAACGTCATCATCTATACAGGTGGCTTAGTGATTCGTGAGTGTGGTCTGGGTGGGCGTACACGGCGCAGGAAAGGAGGAAAGTCGTGAATTTGGGCTTCAACATTTCTAGTAGAACGACTGAGACAGGTGATGTCACAAGGGTGCTTGCAGGGACGATGAGTAGGGAACAATGAAACGCCTGTTGGAAATGGACATGAAACGAGGACACACTTTTAGAAACCGGTAGCCGGGAAAAGAAAGAGAAAAAATACTGTAGTCTATTCCAGAAATTGTGCTCAACTTTAAAAGTCCTAAACTTAGTAATCGTTCCATCTTGTAAGTTGAAATTTTGGCGTGCAAACTGTCAAAATAGTCTTTACCTGGAACAAAAATTTAAAAAATGTATACGAACATTTAGTTTTCATTTTACACTAATTAATTTTAATACAATCTTTACGCGTGTGTTTCAGTTACTGTATATTTTATTTTTTTAAGGATATACACATTATTAGTCAAAGATAAAAAAAAAAAAAAAAAAAAAAAAAAAAAAAATTGCCACTTCAAGAACCCGACAGCACCTGTGCAATTGTAAATTATAACATCAGAAGTAAATTGAAAATCTAAGGCCACGCGCGGATCCATGCAGAAGTTTTCGAGATATTTGGTAAAGTGTAAAGGCGCGGCTTTGGAAACGCACTGTAGTCATGGAGACACTGAGGTGGCTCTGCATCTGAAGACGGAGCACGAATGGGTCTGACCGATGTGCTAGGTTGTCAGTACTAACTAACTTACCCAACAGGTCTAATGACATGGAAGTGGGTCCTTTACTTGCCATTTAAGTACACCAAGTTACCGCATGGCTGGTTTTAATTGCGTTTATTGCGTTTTTTTTTTTGACAGTACCTGGAGGCTCAAGACATAGCCCAGGCTGTGAAGTACATTATTAGTCAACCTCCTCATGTACAGGTATGTATGTTCCCACCTGTATGTGACGTTTCAGTGCAGTTTGAGAGGGGAATGGTGAGATTTGGGGGATCATCATCGTCATCATCATGCAGCACTACCTTTTATAATATTCATAATATGCATATCATCATATGATCATAACATGCTTTATTAGTAAACTACAACTGCTGTGCGAAAGATGATTGACTGGAAGGGCCGAATATAAGACAGGCCAGCGTGCCCAATTTGTGACCCTTTGAAAATAAAGTTCGTTTGTTCTATCTATCTATCTATCTATCTATCTATCTATCTATCTATCTATCTATCTATCTATCTATCTATCTATCTATCTATCTATCTATCTATCTATCTATCTATCTATCTATTCATTCATTACTCCATCCATCCATCCATTCATCCATCCATCCCTCCATTCATCCATCTGTCTGTCTGTCTGTCTGTCTGTCTGTCTGTCTGTCTGTCTGTCTGTCTGTCTGTCTGTCTGTCTGTCTGTCTGTCTGTCTGTCTGTCTGTCTGTCTGTCTGTCTGTCTGTCTGTCTGTCTGTCTGTCTGTCTGTCTGTCTGTCTGTCTGTCTGTCTGTCTGTCTATCTATATGTGTCCCTGCCTATCTGTCTGACTGTCTAATTGATCATCTCCTGTATTATTGTCTAGCCTCCCAAAATGTAGTGTGTTCCATTAGACCCAAAGTAATCAGCTTTTCGTATCTCCTGTTGGAGAGTAGGGTGTTGGTAGTTGTGATAAAAAATACAGGTATGCAGAGCTGGTCGGCATAGAATAAGTTCACTAAAATATTGTTTAACTGTGGACGCTCAAGTGTGACGAAAGGCCCAAAGTGAAACGTTTGCTTCAGTGTTGTTTTGTGTATCAAATGTTGCAGCCCTGCACGCTTGAACGGCCATGAATAAAGGTTGTTCCGCTTGAGTAGACACCAGGTCTTCTCAAACTCAAGGGAACTTCTATGGAGTAGCGGTAAAGAGTTCGCCTGTGGATCCTTAGGTCGTCGATTCAGATCCGATCAGGGCCAGACGTCTTCGAAAATAACCTTGGTTCCCAGGTCGAACCAGCGTTAAATGGATATCGGGTAGAGTCCTGGAAAGTAAAGGCGACTGGTACCGAGTGCCAAATGGTAGGAAAATATAGGTCTAACATTAAATACCATATACACCAGAAAGCGTTGAAAGGGGTCCTATAGTTTACATTACTTTTAAATTCGCCGAAGGCTTATATCTATATATATATATACACACATATATACAGAGTAAAGTAATGATCCCCCTTTACGCCTCAGGGGAAACGGGTACATGGGAAGAGCACCCATATTTTTACAGACTAATCGGCACTAGGTGGGTAATGTGGTCAGCATTACGCCGGCCGCCTTTACTTTCCCAAGACATACATCCTGGTACCCATTTAGCCCTGGGTCCACCTGCGACGCCCCATATTATGATAAAAATCCATGCAGCAAACAGTGGGGTTTCCATCACACAGAGACATACACACACACACACACACACATATATATATATATATATATATATATATATATATATATATATATAGAGAGAGAGAGAGAGAGAGAGATTGATGGGGGGGGGGGGGGTGTCATAGACTCTGGTTTGTGTGTGTTTAATTATGTATTTATATACAGTTATATGCGACACTCAGTTAACATCTTAACGCGACAACCATGTAGTCATGCTTCTTCTTTTGAGAACCTCTAATCTAGTTTGTGGACACCCCATTTTATTCTGAAGTGCGCGATCCGCAAAATCCATTTAACGTCCTGGTAATGTTTGACAGTGTGGATAACAGCATGTAAAAATCACATGACCGATTTTATTATGGTTACAAATATTTCAGCCAAGCTATGTGTGACCAAACTTTCTCGTTTATAACAGAAACACGCATTCTGTACTACCATTTCGGAAACTGTGTAGATGTTTCTCCTTCTGCTTCACTTTCATTACTGGGTGTAAACTCCGGCGGATAGTCCTGGTGGTTCTTTCACTTTTGGACTTTGGTCTTTTCCCAAAACTTGAGTTTTGAGTGCACTCCGGTTTTGACGATTTGACCCTCCTCCCCTCCCCCATCACCCCTTGATACATTCTGCTTGTTCTTTGCGTTCCAAGGAAACACCCCTGATTCATCAGTTCTCGTTATGCCTAGTGGCACATGAGGCTTCAGAGAGGACTTTCCATGCTTTCCTGTCCTGTGCAATCTTCAGTGCAGTTTTCCATGTCAAAGATGCCGCACTCAGGTCACTTTCCATCGTTCGTCTCCATGTTGTATTTGGGCGCCCCTGTTTTCTCTTTCCCTCTGGTGTCCATGTAAGAGCTGTTTTGGCAGGTATATCAGAAGTCATTCTCATAACGTGGCTAAGCCATTTCCATCTTCTCTTGGTAATCATACTGTCTAAGGTTTCTTGGTTTGTGACTTGAAGTAGTTTAGTGTTTGAGATTATATCTGGCCAGAAAATTTTGATAATTCTACGTAGACATGTGTGGTGGAAGGTGGACAGCTTGTGTGCATCCTTTTTGGTCATTCTCCAGCATTCCGCTCCATATAGAAGAACTGGCAAAAGGATGCCAGTTTAGTACTAGTTTACCCCTGATTAGTCGCCTTTTACGACATGTTCTTTAGGGACCACTGGGTCTATTTTGCCCCTTTCCCCCAGAATAAGCCGCGGGACCTATTTTATATGGCGCACATAATCTAGTCACAATTATAACCTAAGGCTCCCCCTTCGGGGATGCAGGTTGAAAATGACGATTTTGTGTTAATTTCTTCTTAAAAACTGATGATGATGGAAACGGAAATTATGGCTATCTACATAAAGATCTTCACGGTCTGGAGCTAATGATGCAGAGGGAAGTAACCAGCGAATCTGACCGACATTTAACTCTCAGATGAAAGGCAAGACACACCCACAATTAGACTACTACAAATACCATCGGAACTAGAGCTTTGTGTTGGTTGCTGAAGGTGGGGATGGAGTGGTAATGGGAATTTTTTTCAGTGCTGTTAGGTCGATACTTAACTCACTTCAATTCAGCTCACCTCAGCTCAATTAATTCCCTGCTCGGAGCTCCCAGATCGACTCAACCTAATATGAGAACCAGTGTGATATCGGATATGTCTCACCGGGGCCATTTTAAGCGATGCAAAAAACGAAAACGTAGCACTGAAACACACCGTCCGTGTTGTAAGAGATAAAAAGTGCATGAATATCTCATTCAATATAAAGCCAGTTGCATAACCCAGCCTACCATGAACGTGTCTACAAATAGCATGGAACGATTTGGTTCAGGGTCTTTGATACATTGGGACATAAAAGAACAAGAAAAAGTAAGGCCGTCGGAATGATATTGGCGTCATCATTATTCAAGTGAGGGAGCTACCGTGATGTAGCGTCTAGACCCCCGCCTGAGGATCAACTGGTTGCCTGTTCAGATCCAAAATTACCTTGGTCCCAATTCAACCCAGTCTCAAATGGGTATCAGGTAAGGTCCTAGGAAGTAAGGACGGCCAGTGTGACGTTTTTAAATGAGTACCGATTGGTGTAAGAAATATAGGTCCAGCCATATTAGCCCAGTCAGCCTGGAAGAGGGACTGACTGACTGACTTTCTACCCCATCAGGACATCACACAAGTGATAAACACCCGATGACACAATGTGCCACCATGTGGATGAGGATCATCTTGTAGAGGTCCCATAAACCGCGTTCAGCCATTAGGCCATATTCATGGCCTGGCTATATTGCGGCCCCCAGCAAGAGCCAGGGTAGGGCTTCGAATAACGAAACATTTCATCCTAAAAAAGGACGGTAAATAATAACAACCTGGAAGAGGGCTGACTGACTGACTTTCCACCCCACCAGGACATCACACAAGCGACAAACACACGATGACACAAAGTGCCACTATGTGGATGAGGATCACCGTGGAGAGGTCCCAGAAACCGCGTTCAGCCTTTAGGCCATATTCATGGCCTGGCTATGTTGCGGCCCCCGGCAAGAGCCAGGGTAGGGCTTCAAATAACGAAAAATTTCATCCTAAAAGCGACGGGAAATATATTAACCTGGAAGAGGGAATGAATGAATGAATTTCTACCCCACTAGGACATCACACAAGCGATAAACACCCGATGACACAAAGTGCCACCATGCGGATGAGGATCGCCGTGGAGAGGTCCCAGAAACCGCGTTCAGCCAACTGGTCATATTCATGGCCTGGCTATATTGCGGCCCCTGGCAAAAGCCAGAGTAGGGCTTCAAATGACAAAAAATGTCGTCCTAAAAAGGACGAAATCGGGTATTCAAAACCTGGAAGAGGGTCCTTTATGTGACTAATAAACCAGTGGCGAGGCGTACGTGCAAAGGTTGTAATCGCCGCTTATGTCTAGACCTGTAGCAGCCCTGATAGGGGAAACTGAAACAATGGAAAACGGTGACAGTCACATCGGGCAGTCATCATCATCATCATTATCGTCGCTCAGTAATGCAAAATTGTTTTTTAAGTCCTTCGTGGTCTCTCTTTCTCTTTCCCGAGATTTGTAGTATAGGGGCAATAACCAATACTCGGCCTAACTTTGCCAAAAAATTACTTCCCTTTCTTATTTCTTTCTCTCTCTCTCTGTCTCTCTCTGTCTCTGTCTGTCTCTCTCTCTCTCTCTCTCTCTCTCTCTCTCTCTCTCTCTCTCTCTCTCTCTCTCTTTCTTTAAAAAAAAACATGAGTTTATTCATAGCCATTTCTTAAATATGAAGTCTAGTAAGTTGTTAGATTTCTAACAGTTAGATCAGACGACCCTATATTAACTTAAAGGAACTGTTAATTTCGTCCTTTTCAAGACGAAATTTTTTGTCATTTGAAGCCCTACTCTGGCTTTTGCCAGGGGCCGCAATATAGGCAGGCCATAAATATGGCCAAATGTCTGAACGCGGTTTCTGGGACCTCTCCACGGCGATCCTCATCCGCATGGTGGCACTTTGTGTCATCGGGT